CAGTTTACTGTGCTATTTTGCATACTGTAACTAAGCAGCAAATGGGATAAGCACGCTAAACACTTGCTGAAGAGGAGGAAAATAATTTCAATCACAATTGCATGGGAAAAAATAATGTCCAAAAATGTTACGGAGCTAACAAACAGAAGGAGAATTCTTTTCACTAAAACTGGATTTCAGTAATGTTCACTTTTTTTAAAAGTAATTATTCTAGAATATATTAGGCAATCCCTCTAGTCAATGTGTAGGTAGATTGAATAAGATAAAAATATATAAGCATTCCCTATTTTTCCATTGTTGAAACAGACCTTCAAAATAAAAGCTTGAAGCTATACAGGCTGACAAGAATCCTGTCTGCTAGGTTTCTTACTAGGTAGTTAAAATGGTTGAGAATGGAGGCTGAATGGGAAAATCCAAAAGATTTAACATGCAGCTAAGGCATCCTAACTTTGAGGATTCAGAGTAGCATTCAGCAAGAAAAACCCATTTAAAACTTCTTAGCAGAAACATGAACTGAGGTTTCCTTTCAGAAATCTAACTTTTCTTTGAGAGCAGTTGGTTACAAAGCATCCTACTCATAACTGTTTGGGGCTTTTCTCCCCCCCACAAGGGCACATGGACCATTACAAAACACATTTGACTCAAACAGTCCAGTCAGTTACTAGATTTTATTCTAAACAATTAAAGATCAATTTGGATGGCAAGGCAAAAAAGATAAGTCCTAAGCCAACACTTACCTAACGAAAGCAAGCAACTGAAACTCAGCAGCACTGAAAAGAATACCCAACAGAGCCCAAATATAGCTCCAACATATATTCATGGTCTGTCTAGAAATGTCTTTGATGTTAAACCTCATATGGCACACTTAGCATTTTTTTATAATTCATTTCCTATGGAAACTAATGAGCTTAAGGGTGAAATTACCTCATTGAAAGTCAAAATGGTAAAGTGTGAAGAAAAGAAGGATGACCTGAAAAGCAGATTTAGAAGCAATCTTTGCATATTAAGCATTGCTGTGGGAAACAGTATAATTAGTTTTCTTCAGAAGTTATTCCTTGGAATTGTGTAAGTGGTATTTCAGCTCCCAAACATCATGCAGAAAGAATGTTAGATAAAATATGTGGAAAAAATGCAAAATCCCCACACATTCTTTTTAAAAATCAGGAGATCCTTTTCCTAATTTCCAGTAACGCAGTGACTGTTGGTTTATTTTTAGAGGGCAGACTGTACAAAATAAGGCCCCCTTCCAGCAGAAATTTCTAAGAGGCCATAAGAAACCAGATTTTCAGAGCATAATTTAGATTTGAGCATTCTCTTCTCAAATGCCTAACTCCTTTTACTTGAAGCAACTTATTTCTCTAAGCTCTTGCTGTAGGCTAAGCCATCTGCACTACACAGTTCTGCTGAAGACTAGAAATTGATACAAAATGGATGTACTTTGTTTGCAGAATGAATGAGCTAATGATTATCTTTGAGTGTCAAATACCAAGATTTTTCTATTAAATTCAAGGAAAACAGTATCAGAGCTTAAACACAAATTATCCTACACAGTTGCTGATTCAAATACTTGAGATACACTGAGGGCTCCAAGATTAACACTGACTGTTGAGATTACTGTGTTGTCAGCTATCCCAGCTGCAAAAGGCCATATGTTGTATTCTCTTTCTCACAATCATGCTACCATCCCTCTTTATTCTTTACAGAAGTGCTCAGAAGAGCTTATGCTGTGCCAGAACTGACCACTTGATAGGGCATAAATCCAAAACCAGCAGCTTCCTCAAACTAAATTAGTTGCAAGTAATTTGTTGACATAATGGCGTATAAAACACTTAAATACACCAATGTAATTGCAGGGCAAGCCAAAACTATTACATGTTTCAAGGTCTATCAGCTTGTCTTCATGGTGTACAGAACAACATAGCATTTTCACTTTTACATTACTTAAATCGAGCTTGAATTTCTCTTAAATTTAATCTGAAGAATAAATGACAGCTGCTTTAAGAACAGCAATATAGATTAGCAACAACATTAAATGATATCCAGTTTCAAGTGTGGGAATGGTAGCAGCACAAAAATCCTAGGATGCTAAACTGCAATTTGAAGTTTAACAACTCTGGCACCACTGTCTTACACCTCAGACAGAATGAGGTGCAGACAAGTCCTCCTATTTACTCAGCCAGGGAAAGGTTCTATTCAGAAAAACTTCTATTAATAGTAGCCATTTGAAATTTTATCATTTATACAAATTAGATCATTGTAAAGATGAACACAATATGACAGTCACTTTCTCTAACCTGCTGTTAAATCAATAGTGGTATAATGCTTGTCACTTCAGCATTTACAGTGTTGCAAGAAATTGAAATAGTATCCACTTTTTTAAAAGTAGTAAACTTTTTTGTTTACTAGCACCTTGAAGTCATCTTATTGACAAAAATTAATTCTATTTAATAGTTTTTTGCTTATATAAATTCATTATAAATCCTGGAGAGATACTGAAGATCCTTTGTGATATGATCTGACACCTTTTAGGAAAGTTCAAGAGAATTTCTTGGAATGACACAAAAATTCATGTCATTTTCAGTTACTACAAGTTCAAGGATGATATTTAGTTGTAAAATCTCAACATTCAAATAACTAATAGCTTGACCAAGCATTAGCAAGTGTTGCATACGTCCATTTCTATGGCGAGAGAATATGCACAAAAGAAACAGACAACTTCAATGAATTTTTTTTTTTTTTTTTTAATTAAGAACTTCTTAGTTCAGGAAAATAAATCACAAAAGAGAACTGGAAGAACTACTCTCCACCTTCTTTATAAAAGAATTTTCTCAGAGAGACTATATATCTTGTTCACTGCTATGTCAAACCCTATCATAATCACCTCGGTTTTCACAACATCTATGCTACCACATTTCATGCTCAGCTTCCAAATATCTCTTATAAAGGAGGTGGGGGTGTGCTTTAGACAGGTTAAAAATATGCTGCACCTTTACAGTATTTAAACAATTACACCAAGCATAGTTCATACATTTATCACATTAACTATCACCTGGTAACCATACATTTAAAAAGGTCTAATGTATAGAGTATGTAATACCCATGACAGATACTCTTACTTACTTAAGAGCATATAAAGATCAGGATTTATTCACCCTCCCCATCTGCAAGTTAATTTCTCATCTCTTCCTGGTACAATATAAATGACAAAAAAAATCCCTTCATTCCATTGCACTACCGCAATCCTATATGCATAGAAAGGCAGATTAATTATCTGTAACAGGGAAAAGGAAGAGGTGTTTATAAAAGGAATCTGAAGAACCTCTACTGCACAGGTAGTTTAGATGTTAAGTACATGAGTTTCATTGTTTTTCTTCCCCAACTTTTTTTTTTCTTAAAGTCACATAATATATCCCTACACAAACATAAATTGAGTAAGTGCAAGTGAGGTTCTACATAGTACTGTAGACACAGTATTCTTGACCAACAAAAAAAATTCAGCACAAGAGGCTTGAACACTAGCACAGTGACAAGTCTGTGCTGAAAGCCCATCTGGGGTGTGGGAAGTGGTGAATGAGAATGCAAAGCACATTTCTGCATATAATGTGCAAAGGCTCGATCTCCACAACTGCACTCAATTTGCTACATGCACAGCCAGAGATGAAAATGAGATCAAGGACAGCTGGGAATGGTTGTCCTGAGAAGATACAATAACCATTAAAAAAAAAAACTAAACATAAAATACAAATACAGAAGCAACAGAACATTGTTAATAATACTAAAAGACAGAAACACACCATTGTTGTTAAAAGAAGTTTCAAGTATTATTCCAGATCCAATTTCAATCCTACTCACAGGAGAAAATGCCCAGAGATTAGGAAGAGAAGTCCACACCAAAGTGTATTTTTAATAGCATGCGGGCATGGTCAACAGACCCATCTTGCAACAGCTATTTTAAAAAATAAAAATCTAAACTGAAATACATCATTCTAATTAGCATTCATCTTAAGATGTGCATTACTGGAAATAGTTCTTTAATTCACTGACACCAGTACACACAATGTGCTGCATCATTTGTGCTCCATTATATCACAAGATACCATGTGCACACTTTTTAACATCAAAGTATAAAACCTGCTCATAAAATAAGGCATACTTAAAAACAATATGGTATATACAGAGGTAACTTTGTATGCTTTCTTCTCATTCTGTTTCACTCTTCTAGGTATGATGAAAAAGAAAAATTGGTCCCAGTTGAGGTTTGTCAACATTAGCTACCAGATTATGATGAAACAGATCAAATCAATTTGGGAGGGGAAGATGTGTTGGGATTTTTATTTTTTTTTTAATGATGCTTGGGACATTTCCTGAACGAGCTCTGCAGAAGGCATGAAAATAAAATCTACATTTTTTTATGTCATTGACACCAGTGTTCCCCTTCATCATCCTTACTTGAATGCCTCCATATTGCTACAATTTGTCCAAACTGAACTATTTTCTGTAAGATTGTTCCTTCCAGTAAAGCTGCTATATTCTGCTTTAAATTATAGCTTTTTCTACATTTTCACCAGTGTATGCATGCTAGAGAACAGCTGCAATGCAGAGGTACATATTTAGCATATGGTATCAAACCAAAAAAGAAATACAAAAAATGAACCAGTGTGTCCTACTGGCTGCTCTATGTCAAAAGCACTGTTTGGTCTTCTGATATAAAACACTACAGAAGTAATATTAGCAGAAGTCTGCTCTGCTTCAAGTATTACCCCAACTTTTAATGTGATTTTTCAGATTTTTGTGCAATTATTTTTGTAATTTAATGTGAATAAAAACATCAACATGACTAAACTAAGAAAAGAAACTGTACTACTTCCACTATAACACTACACATATGGTAGAAGCTTTAAGTTGAAACAGCTATTTAGTGGACGGAATTTTTTTTTAAGTGAACATTAATGTGGTTTCTAGCCCAAATGCAATGGGGTAGTGACAAAATATCAGACTACCGCAAAACGCAGTTACAAATATACACTGACAATTTCCTTCTTAAATATTAATGGCTCTTGAAATATCCACCAGATACTTTTACAAAACATTTCTATTTTAAGTCTAAGGATTTTTCCTAGTTTCTTCACAAGTAGTGCAAATACACTCCTTATTCTTAGGTCTTCCCAAGATATGGCTGGTTTTTGTGTGTGTGATTACTGTTTGTGTTCTTCACTGAATTGATACAGGGACACTGTAGTCACGAGGATGGAATGCAATGCTTGCTGAACTTTCTTGGGAAAAAAAAAAATCTACCTTATTCACGTACAGCTGTAAAATTCTACAAATTAAAAAGTTCACACCAGATTACCTGATGCAAAAGTTATTAATTCCCTGCTATGGGGGAACTGAGAAGATCCCCTGAACTTTAAACTGTACAAGCAGTGTAACAGGTTTTTGTCCCCTCTCTACAGACTACAAGTATTCAGTTCTTGAATCGTGTTTGTTCACAAATGTGATTGAATTTCCTGAAATAAAAAAAAAAAGTATTAAAACACAACAAAGTTCTCAGAAGTCATGCAACAAAAAAAGAGTCAGCATCTTTCACAGGGTATTTTAAGTGTTAAACAGTTTAAAGCAGAATATTTACATGCTAACATATCTATTTTTCAGAACCTGTTTAGATTGTACTCTACTACCATGTTATCTGTAACAGGATTTTCAACATCTCTCCTGCCTAACCCTTGTTAGCTTTATTATGTACACAGAAAACCTGTTATTAAAAGCATTCCTCTATAGTTCTGCATACTTCAAACTCAGAAGGCAATTAAAAGAGGAATCAGTGAATTAATTTTGCCCTGTGAGACATTAGTAATTTTTAGTAGACAGCATTACACAAGTCCCTAGGAACTAGAATTAACCAGACTAACAACACATTTCAACATAAACGTGTTCTTTCACTGGCTTAGAATCTTCTTGTGGAAAGAAAAAGAAGTTTTTCTAAATCTGCATTATTTAGGTTTTATGGGAATGACAAGCCTGTCTTCATGAATTAAATAACACAACTTTTTACAAGGCACTTCTTCACAATTCTCAAACATCTCACTATTCAGTCTTTTTCTCTTACTTGGGTTATGTGTCCCCTAATACATAACTGAAACAGAAGTTGGGGTGTTGTGTGTGTGTATACATATACATGTGGAAGAGCTGATGCAAAAGAGACCATGAATTTTCTCCTTCCTAATTTAGATCAAAGATTAGAAAAGAAACCCTGCTTACATAACCAAACTACTTAGCAAAACAGTTTAGCTCAGTAAAAGAAACATAACTGGATCTCTAGGACTGGTAAGACAGGATTGTTTGCTTTTATGGATTTTAGGAACTAAAAGCAGCAGCCAGTAAAGTTCTAGGAACAGCTAATGCTTGAAAGTTAAAAAAAAAAAGAAAAAAGAAAAAAAGGAAAAAACCCTCAGTAAATTCTATTCTAGATGAAATTATCCACCGCAATATGAACAAAGACAACTGGTGAGTACTTTGATACTGAATTAACTCTCTAACATATCAAAACAAAATCTCCTCTGGGAACACAGACAATCCTGTAATGTGAAGTTAGAGGTAGCAGCGGTACTTTGAATTACATCTGCAACTTAAATCCCAAATTATTTTTGAAAGTTATTTGCTAAAACTCTCTGAATTTGTAAGAGGCTGGGGATGAATATTTTACAAGTATTTCTTATGATCTGCTTGCCTGAGCTGTACAGACTGGTTATTTTCAACCCATAGTACCTGAAATATTAAAGGAATTATGCTAAGTGTATATGTTCACTGCAGCTTTAGAAAGATATTGCAGAGTCTACTATTCGTTAGAGCAATTTCTCAATAAGGGGTAACAGCTCCTCTATCTTAAATTTCACTGAGAATTTAGAGAATTATTCATAAAGCAAGAAGGATTCTTCTACCCTCCCTGGAACCAGTTAGCTCTTAGGCAGATAATTTTTGTTTTGTTTTACAAGTCTTTAATATTTGTCTTACCACATGTGCATCTTTTTATAAGAACAAAATTGCATTGCTTATCAGTGGCCTTGATTTTTTTAAATCAAGGACCTTGATTTATTTTGGATGGACATTTCCCACGAATGAGCAGATACCAGGAGTCCATGTCCCCTAGATATATTAAAACACTTGAGAAGCAGACAGTTAATCTCTTTTCAGGCTCAGTATTTCATTTTCACCATATGCTAGATTGCTTGGGTTAGAGGCATGAGACCTAGAAACTCCTCCAACTGGTAACTGCTAAGCCACACCAGCTTCCTAATGTTACATGTTCCAAACTTCTCTTACTGCTCTTGTTGCAAATTATTCCCACCAATTTACCCCTTCAAAGTATGTTCCACTTCACTAGACTTGTCTCTCAGTTTCAAATGGAAATTGCACAGGGCTAATTATTGTATACACAGGGATTTTAAGAAGCACCCAGACATAAGCAAATGAGAAGCTGCTTCAGTGGGAGAAGAATAGGAATGAAGGGGGAGTTGTGGGTGGAAAACAACACTAAAGAAGTGTCAGCAATGGGTTACATCAACGTACAAGTACCAGAAGCGCTGTTTTGACATGCACAAAGGGCTCATTTCAAAGTTGTGTTAAAACCAAAAATGACAAAAAAAAAAAACCCAAAGCTCACCCAATTTTGCTTATGCTGCAGTAGTGTTACTCATGCAATTTCTGTCACTTCGAACAATGGATTTTGTTGTTGTTGCTTTTTTTAAAGAGAAATAAAAACCAAAACCATTTTCTAAATTTTATTACTTACATGGCATGATGTGCTTTGACCTGAGTTCGACAGTTGCGCCCCCAGTAGCAATCAGGACGTGATGTGACAGTCACTACAAAAAGAGCAAATGAAATGCTACATTTATTACAGAAGTCATTAAATAAGGTGATGTAGATTATTAAGCCACTGCTAATGGTGGCTACTCATCAGAGCAGGCTTTGTAGAGAAACAAGACATGATTGTCAAGAAATTATTGTAGACTATATTGGTTCACCTTTCCAGAAACAAAGCAAAGACTTAGTGAAGGACAAAAAGTTCATTTACTGAATATTTGGCTCATGCAGACTTATGATGAAAGGATTTGGTTCTCAGTGCTGTCAACTGAAATTTTACCATTTAGTTGAGATGGACTTTACAGTTTAAGACACTAGGCATATGTCTAGATACATTTCCACACAAACGAAAACTTTATTAATTTGGGTAGAGTTTATTTTCCCCCACTTTTACATACATTGTAACTCAGCTGTCCAGCAGGCCCTTACATTAAAATGAAAAGCAATGCTAAGGAGAAACAAGGTAGACTGATTGTCTCCCATTAAGCACAGCTGCAGAAGCAGAGTTCTCAACAGTTAGACAGGGAAGCTGTTATTAACAACAGGAACTAGATGGACAAAAGCAACATTTAAAAGTAGACTGTTGGAAGAGCTTCTGTTCCCAACAGATTTAGGATTGAAGGAGGCACAGTTGGTTGCATGCTATTTTATGCTAAAACTGTAAATGCAAACAGATTTAGAATTAATCTATGAAAACATTCTTGCTCCTAGTTGAGAGCTGGTGAAATTGTTCAGGAGGTGCATCATTTTATGTATTTAAATGGGAAAATAAATTAAATTAGTCAACAGGAACTAGTTGCTGTATATTCTGGATTTTACTGAATTCTTCTTTTCAATATGCAGATATATTTATTCTACAGATGAGAAATCATACTGAAAGAAAAGGTTCCATTAGGGAGTCTGACACTAACTGCACCCAAATTTAGCAGCTGACAAGTAAAGCAATCACTATAAGTTATTAGCTCTGCAAAGAGATTTGCACTGGGCTAAATGAAGGTGCTAAAAAAACCAAGAATACAGGGTTAAAACTGACTTTAACTCTTTAAATTACTCCCCGCCCCTTACTGAGTGAAGCAATCCCCACCTGGCAATTCAGCAACAGGAATGTTCTGCCTGTACTGGTAGGCAAGTTCTCGAAAGCTGCGAAGGCCACAACAGTAGCAAAGTACTGTGTTCCCAGTAATTCTGTAATCTGGGGAGAAAACCAGTTTGTACGTAATGTCAGTGTAAGGCTTGAGAAATCAGATTTAACAAAAATGTCATGATGGCACTGGTCATGCTCACAGAACTTCAAACCTCTTGATAATATTACTGAGTTATATACAGACAAAGAGTTATACATGTACAAAAATGAACATAACACATACCTGACAACATAAAAACTCCTCTTTGAAGAGCTAAGAGACTTTCGTTTAACATATTTTTCCATGTCAAACCCCTGGATGCCAGGTAATCCTGAAAAGAGCAATTTAAGTGTTTAATCCAGAAAAATCTCCAACATTAAAGAGTGACCAAGCCATTTACTTTCAAATATTTCCAAATCTAGATCTAACTAGGTTTTCAAAATGGGTTGATGCTGATTACAAGTGAAAATTAAGTATCTTTAAGTTAATTAGCATGATACTTTCAGATCACCAATAAAACCTTCGACCCTACCTTTTTTCCCCAGAAGATCCTCACTTTTGCCAAAAGAATGCAAATAGTGTCATTTCAGTCACACTCTCATTTACCTTCAATCAAATTTTCATCCAGCTTACCAAATTTAGATAACCCCGTTGTGGTATGGGCAAAATACTTTCCATGCAACCTAGCATGAAATTTGACTTGTCTGGGAAAAAAATATTTAACAAGCCTTGTTTTCCAGGTATATTTTTAGTGAATTATTTTTCTCTTAGTTAATATTTTGAATGTTACACTTTATACTGTAGAAATTGGCTTCCCTAACAAATACTTCATATAAGTAACATTCTTTTATGATTCAACAACTAAACATATCTGAATTCTACAGTGTATCTATCGGTCATTTAAACTCAAATTCAGAAATTATGTCTAGAATTTTTGTGTTTTTGGCACCTGTCAGACATACATGTCGGAGAAATTAAACATCAAGATTGCATGATTTTTATTTTTTTTTTTTGCTGTTGTTGCTGTTAATTTGGGTGGTATGGAAAGAGCTGATGCTAAATGGAAGGTATCTCTCGAACATGATGCCCTCTTACACAGAGACTGAAAGAGCCAAATTATCACCCCAAAATACTTCCAATCTAGACACAGTAGCTGTAACTTTGGTCCAGCTGAATGTTCAGGGCTCATTACATTTGCCTTTTAGAATCAGGTGCTGCAAGTGACACAATGCTGTCACTGTAACTGTTAGGCAATCCATCGCTATCATTTCACGAGTGAGTACATCTTAAACTTTTAAAGTTTATTATTATGCATCATACATAATGATTTTTGAACATACCTTTAGGATATCCGACTCGTAGTGGTTGTTATTTAGGACTCCATCTAAACACTTATCACCAAGATTTATTTCTAATCAGAACAAGAAGAAGAAAAGTTACTGTTTCTTCCCCCAACCCATGGCCCTCACATTTTCTGAAGGTTCTTCTGTTTCCTGAAATAATGTGCACATGCTCACGTGAGCACCAATTAAATGACTGCATTCAACATATGCTAAAGCATGTGATATATAACTTCCAGTGGTAATCAACGACGAGACACTGAGATTTTACAATTTCACCTTTAGTCCAGAAACACTACTACTAAGCTGCATAAATAGTGCTATTAAAGCACATTCCATTAGCTTCAAACTGCAGCCAAGTAATTTCAACCGTTATAATTAATTTTTAAAACAATGTCTAAACCCTTGAGTTTCAGAAGTCTGCATGTTTAAGAGAGTAAGGTCCTTTTCTAATCAGTTAACATGAGATCTTCACTGTTCTTGCATTGACAAGATGAAACAGTCTCAAGTTGCGTCAGGGGAGATTCAGGTTGGATATTAGGAATAACTTTTTCACTGTAAGAGTTGTTAAGCATTGGAACGGGCTCCCCAGGGAGGTGGTGGACTCAGCATCTCTGGAGGTGTTCAAAAAACATTTAGATGTGGTGCTTCGAGACACGGTTTAGTGGGTTTACTGGGCATGGTAGCATTGGGTAGAAGGTTGGACTTGATGATCTTTGAGGTCTCTTCCAACCATAACAATTCTATGATTTGTATGATTCTCTTACTAGGTTGAAATACACTATAATTCTTTTTATACGTGAAAGCATTGTGCTCAACAAGCGTAGTTTTCAAGCCCAATATGGTATGAAGACAAGAAGTTAAATCCTCTCAAAGTTAAGACACATATCACTCGAGAATTTTTACATTTGTGATGTGAGGACACAACCTTTGTTTCCTTTTGCATGACTGTGCTACAAACTAAACTATTATATTTCTTAAATTACCTAAAGTTCAAGACAGACAGACATTATTGCAAAGTGAGCAGGCTCATAAGAAACAGATTATTCCACAATACCACAAAATGGTGCCAAACAGCCAAAACATGCCATCCGAGTGCAGCCCCAGTATAAGTGACAGAAGGGTTGCAGACAAACTGTACCTGTAAAATAACAAAGAAAACCCCTACAAGGACCTGCACACAACAAAACAATTATTGTTCTTATAAATCAATAGAGCCCTGATAAACTTGGTTAAAAGAAGTACAACTTTCTCATTTAAAATATATTCTATGGAGGAATAATAAGTTTTATAGAGGAAGATTCTTTCACGCTGCCACTACAAGAGTCCAGATAAAGAACATTCAAATAAAGAACACTCTTCAAAGTAAATTAATTAAAAATAAGGAGAGATTTAGTTCTGTAACCAAGAGTTAAAAAGTACACACATTGCTGAGGAGCAACATGAGGATTCTGTTCACGCTCTGCTCTTCGGTCAGGCATTGGCTGAAAGCAGCAGGTGCATATTACATGGCTTCCTTGAGCAGGACACACATATTCCTGGACAGCTAGATGAATTACAAAACAGAAAAAAAGGATAGACTGAACAATGTACACAACTGCAACCTGGACTAGGAATCTTAGTGAATATTAGCAGCATAAAAATCTGAAAGTAACAAGCAAGCAGTATCATTTTTACAAAGATTCTATAAAAGAGCAGGAAAATGGCATTCAGACTTCTAAACTATGTAGGTGGGTAAAATATTTCAATATGTAGAACAGTTTAAGAACTATCAATCATCAGCAATCTATTTTGGACAATCGCAGAAAAACCATGGTCAAATCTCATGATATTTGCAAAGAACACCTATGTGAAGTGGTGTTACTCTCACAGTACTATGAAAGCGAGCTTACTTAGCTCATAACGGGTGTGTGAGTTGTAGTATTTTAGTATCACACTACTGAAGATTTCATGACACTGACCTGCAGGGAAGTTGGCAGATGTAGATGGCGCATCTCCCAGTGCTTGCATTGCTCCCACTTCTGTCTCTTGGCCTGCGCCAGGCAGAGTTGGAACAGAGTGTCTTCGATACCCTGGGCACTGTCTGCATACTATGTATGGTTGACTGAAAGAATAAAATAAGGTCATAGGAAATCACACCCAACAAATGCAAATATAACTCATATCCCTATGCTAGACAGGGTTGGTCATATTTTCAAAGTTTAAATTTGGAATTTCTTCATCCAGTAACATATGGGAGTTTAAATAACTCAGTACCTCACAGCTGTGAAGACTGCTGTAGTTGTAACAGATAAAAACTTTGTATTTTGTAGTATTTCCCAAGTAGTTTAAAAAAAAAAAAAAAGATAGCAGTGTGACTGGAAGCGAGATGAACAAGACAGACAGGAACAAAGAAGGAACAAAGTTGGAATAATTATCTACATGAAGAGTTCTTCTGTTCCCCTCTAGACATACAGAAAAAAAATGTTCGTTGTTAGAAACAAAGAGGAGATATTTTCGTGCCCAGGAATCCCAAGGTCAAGCATCAGCTGCTTCAGTACCATACACCTGGTGAAAGCAGCATTCCAGACACATAAGAAAGCACAATCACTGCAGCTGCACTCATAGTGTCATGGACTGCTTTATCTCCCGACAAGATCTTAGCCAGAAACCTGTTTCCTCTAAAGCAACAGCCAATTCCTAATCGGAAAAGGTAATTTCACATATCTCGCATGAAGCTGTTGCACAATTCAGGATAGAACTGTTGGTCATACACTAAATCTTGCTGGACTTCTACGAAGTTCTAATTTTAATTATTTTTTGTTGACTGCTCAAGGTTCAGTAGGAAAGCCAGTACAACTGCCAAGATAATTACTGGTAAGAATGAACTTACCTGAAAACAAAAATAAGATTCATTCTGGCAATGGTCAGGGAAATACTATCAGCAATAACAGCATTTGTGAAACTAGCTCAGTTTGTGGGTTTGTGCATTCAAAAATAAGTAAATCTAATTAAGCACACAACTTAGACATACCTGATATCTGAAGATTCACTATCTACATCTGACAATTCCAACAAATCTTCAGAACTTCCTTCCTCGTCTGAAAAAGATCTCCGCACCTTAGGTTGCAACATGTCTTGAGTAATTTTGTTTCTAGCATCCATGCTACGTACATCATCTTCATTACGACATTTATCTGGTTTTAGAACCAAATTCAAATTTCAAAAGAAAAGAACACCTCACATCCCTCATCTCTACCCTGCTTTATTAACACAGTTATGATTATTGTGTTTTCGTTTCCATAAAACTTAGTTTTGGATAACAGAGCTCTAGAAGATCCTAGTTAAATTCCCCTCTCTGTTAAAGGAAGCGTATCAGGCAACTTAAGTTTTGTTTTCAAGAGGCCATGATCGAAGTTAATTAAATCCATATTCAAGTATATTTTTCAGAACTATCTGAGTTTAGGTGGCCTAATCAGTCAGTGTGCCCTATCTGATAAAACGTATATGCTTCTCCTGATGAAGTAGCAAAGTAAAATTAAGAATTCTTAGTATACTCAATGATAGTATTAAATCACCTTCAATTCTCTCACAGTATTTGAAATATTACAAGTTATTATGTCATATTAAATGCACTTGTCTTCTTACAGCTGTGTCAGAGAAAACAGCAGAGTAACAAACATACACAGAAATTAACAGACAACAGTTTGTGCATGCATCAATTATGCAGCTAATGTGTGAAATACATCAGATTCTGTTACACACACTGTTCAACTTGCCTGGATGCTGAATCAGATAAGCTTCAACCAAGTTATTCAAGATGTGATTTTTACAAATACGTTCTACTGGACAACGACAAGTTGGACATAGAGAAGATCTTTCCATCCATCCTGAGTAGCAGGCAGCACAAAAAGTATGCATACAAGGTTGCAAGCTAGAAAACAAACATGAAAACAATGAAAGAAATTGAGTCAAAACACAAATCTTTCATTTTTCAGATACATTCATAACACTCAAAAAAACTGTTTAGCATTGATTTGACTATATAGATGAGGGGGATTCAGAAGGGCTTGTGAAAAACCTAGATATCCTGGCCTCATCAAACAGTTGTCACTGAACTTCTTGTATTATTACCACATGACTACACCTTTTGTCAATCATACATACCTTACACAATCATGCAGCAGTTCTTGGCAGATAATGCAAGTTAATGTTTCTTCCATCTTATCTGGTTTCACATTTGCTGTTTTTGCATCTTCAGAGCCAATTTTAATTATACATTCACTTGGAGCTGCTGGTGAAAGATTTGGACAAGCATCTTCATCTACAAAGACAGAAGATTCCACAGTATGTTGGTTTTGAATCTTTTTAAAATTTATTTTTATTTAAGTGTTAAAAAAAAAGGCCTGAAAGATATACAGCTTCTGCTACTGAAGACATTATTTTCACGGGACTGGAAATCAAGTCAATAAGAAGTAAGAAACAAATAGAAGAAGGACTGATGACAGCTGATCTGACTCAACTCAGGGCGGGCAAGGGGGTGGAATGAGTGAGTTTTGTTCTTATTTAATACAATACTAAAACATAAAATAACATTGTGAGGAGGAAAAAAAGTTACCTATTCCCTACTAACATAACCTTTCAAGATCTTCTAGGTTTGATATGCATGCATTTTGAATTTATTTCATATTAATAAAGAAAAAGAAGCAGAGATTCTTATGTTTCTGTTAATCTCACGGGGCTTCTATGAAAAACAGACATAGCTTTAAGTTTCTAATCAAGTTTTTTTAAACTAACTTTCAACAATAACATTAAAATAAAAGAGTGCAGCGTAGGTTATGCAATACTGTAGTATACTGGCCTCCTTTTAGTTTCTTCTTAGCAGGTTCCAAACACTCCTCCTCCCCTGTCCTTTGAGAATCTGATTCTGCTTTTTCTTTGTCAGTGATTTCTGAAGTGATTTCTGAAGTTTCAGTACTCGTATCCAGCTTTTCATGTTCGACATGCACTGCTTTTAGACAAACAGATTCTAAGATGGGGAAAGCAGGCACAGGAGTGAAAACTGAGGATTGTGATCCTGGAAAATAAAAACAAAAACATGAACAAAGCTGCTTACAGCTATAGAACATGTGAAAACAAAAGGTACTGTAACCCCAATGATGCACACACATCTGAATAGGAAAAGGTGGAGCAAAAAAGCAATGTCTGCATAACAATACTAAATGCATTCTGAGCCAATCTAATTGGAAGACCTGAGGGGAAAACAAACTATTAGTTGTGTAACCCTACTTAAAATCCCCATTCCTCTTTAAATTGTAGAGTATTTATTCGTAAGACTATTATCCATGCCAAGTCTTCCTGACAAAGATGCTTGGTAGAGGTTTTATGCAATATTGATCATACATAACAGGTTAGGATCACAGCAGAGGGCAAAGCTTTGTTTATATAGGAGCATGTTTAAAAGGCCCAATGAACTGTTGACAAATGCCATTTTCTAGACAGTTGTTCTTGCTCCAGTTCTATTTTAAGAGTTACGCAGCATTGTGGTGTTACACTTGCCAACATAATGCAAGATACTAGGCTAGGGATCCATGTGGTATATTTTGGTCTTAGATCTTTAAGCAAGGCAAAGGGGACTGGTGACTGGCAGCAGTAACAGAGACCATTAGAGCGGTTTCTTGGACTGACTGCATGAGCACAAGTACTCATATCTACTTACTTTGTTACATGAGCCACACAGATTTGCTAAGTCTTCACCGTGTTCTATTACAAAACTGTACTGTAAAGATAGAATCTGCCCCTCTGAGCACAAGCAATTCTCACAATTGCCATACTCATCCACCAGGATTTACCCTGCCTAGTCACAGAAACTTAAAATGCACATATCCACCTGGTATTTTCACTAGATCTTTACAGAACAAATGCTAGAAGACCCAGATAGGGGATCTGTTAAAATTAAAAACTGGAGTAACAGTTGATGGGATATCAAACTTTAAATACTTGACACAATTCTTACCAGATGTAGAAGGATTATCCTGCTGAACAGATGCAGACTCAATAAGAGAGGTAGAAGAAGCATTAAAGAGGTTAGATGTAGAAGTAGATGGCTGCGGTTCCTCATAGGAAGACTGAGTAGCTGATGGTGATGAGGTAATTTGGGTCTCATCATTACTTCTTCCTGTACTTGAGGTATCTTTGGTCACATGGCATTGGTTTTCTACATTAACTTCTACAGTTGGAAAGGGGGAAAGGAAAGAAAAAGATCTGTGTGACAGTCACCACATCATGGCTTCAAAATTCCAAGCAATCAAACTTTCTCAAGAGGATTACGTGAGTCATTGGAGCTTAGCTCCTCTTCGTGGATCTTGAATTACTTCCTTACCTACTGGTTCTTGAGTTGCATCATGGTTTGTGTTTAAGGATTCATAAAGATAAGCAACATCTGAAAGATTAAAAAAAATTGATCAGAATCTTTAAACAAAAATTCACTAACCTTAATCTTGCATAAATAACTTCTATTCACAAGTGGCCACTTCTCCAAAGTGTCTGACAATGGAAGAGGCGAATTCTTCAATCAATTTTATTTCATTTCTTTGTAACACACATGCACTCTCAAAAATACAGATTAAGACATGCCACGAATTTCATCCAGAAACTAACTTAGTATCTACTAATAAAACCAACTGGGTAATATCCCTTTCTTCTCCACCTTACTTCAGCCTAATACAGTTCTAAAGATTCCCCTAACTTGCTACTTTTTTCACCTCCAGCCACCTAGAAGCAAATAAGACTCTCTCAGTTTGTAGCAACCCTTTTTCTGATAAAAAGTTAGAGTAATGTCTCCTTCAGAACTACTCAAAAAGGTCAAATAGGTATGCCAAATCTAAATTCTCTCTCTGTCTCTGAAGATGGAGAAGCTGAAAAAGCAAAACTGGAGGCTTGGTAAGTCAAATACTTGGTAACTCAAACAGAAATCAGTGATTCAGTCCATTACAAAGCACCTGGAACATTCGTGTGAGTGAGTTCTTCCAAGTAGCGTTAACTGCAATAGTGCCATTTCAGAAAGGATTTGTGAGATAAACAAACCATACAGACACATAAATATAGCTTATCACTGCTTCTTGTAATATTTACATCAGACACCATAAATCTGTCTGATCTGTCTGTATATAAATTAATAGCAACTTCATAAAGGAAGTATTTCAGTAGTAAGTATGTATGCATCTAGAATTTTTTAGATTAACAGTTCATATGTCTATTACTGTATGAAAATTGTAAATAGAGTCTCATGTTTTACATATCATGCTGTAAATATTTCTCATGCTACACTCTCCCATCTCCCAGTACACCCAATTATCTTCATAATAATAGGGGAGCTTATGACCATACAAAGTCTGTGTTCACCTTAAAGTTCCACTTCAGAGCTATCTAATATAGTAATGAGAATTCACATTTAAAATGTCTCTTTCATCTAAAGTCTTTTCCAGAAAGAGAGTGCTCTCTACTAAAATTTACATATTACATACTTCACACTTAAAAGAAGAATTGCATGGTAATGGACAGAGCAGTTGGCTGGGGCACAGCAATACATGTGAAAAAACAGAGATTGCCCATTCCCTCTGTCCTCCCCATTTATCAAAGTTGAACCCCATCTGTTATTTCATAATAATGAGCAATTAAATTCTTTCTATAAATCTTTTCAGTCAGTGTTGGATTTAATGATCCTGTATAACTGAATGAAATGGTATGAAATGAAATGGTATGAAATGAAAATTTTGCTGCCTCAATAGTTATTTTCCAAATCATTTATTAACATCTTTGAGACAGATGAGAATACAGATCATTCATGAAATCTTTTATTAATTTCATTCCATTGCAAAAACTGAGCATTTACAGTTAAACCTTGGTCCCTGACTTCTTCCCAGTTAACATATGAAAGAACATTACTTCCTGTCCAACATTAGCGTGGCTCATTTAAAAACCTTTGAGAAAGGACCACCATTAATATTTTTTTTTTTGTTTTAAACCTAATTGTGTTATTTCAATTGCATCATCCTGAAATGACTTCCTGAAAAGAATTATAGACATGTGAGGCATGATTCTTTAAGACCACACAAATATTTTCCCAAGTTTCCTAATTCTACTTTCACTATAGGCTTTTCCCACCTCCCTCCTGTTTTGTCACTTCTCTCTTCAAAACAAAAAAAAAAACCCCACACAAACACAAAATAAAACAACAAGTTTTTGCAGCCTTTCCTTCTGGTGCCAAAAATTGCTTCAATGTGATACATAAAGTACCACTAACCATCCCGGCAATTTGACTTCTAAAAACAGCATTGGGCATGTGATCAGGACATCATTAGTCACCATTCCATGCATTAATTCTTCCAAACTACTTCTAGGCACATTTCAGTTTCAGAGAGTTGCTCAGACTTGTCCCTGTAAAAACTGGCACATCCATGACCTCTTCTAGAGAGATGTGTTTTTAAACATTAAGAAATTATTTGTCTTAAAATTGAGTAATTGCACTGATATTTCTTTTCTCTCATGACTCAAAAAAATCCCAACCTAAGCATGTAATTTAAAAAATATCATCTACTTACTGTTCTCTGGCTCATTTTTTCTGTAAACAACATAGATCACATCCCCAGTCTGCAAAGGGTATGTCTGCTTCTTCACAACTTTCAGTTTATTAATTACTGTTCCATTAGTACTGTAAAGAGAAAGAAAAGTTAACTTAGCATAAATGTTTACATAATTACACAGAAGAAGGAAAACACAAGATACTTTTAATGAAGAAAAACTATTGGCTCAAAAAAAAAAAGCAAGCCAGGATTTAAAAAAAAAAAAAAAGAAAAAAAGAAAAAAGGAAAGTCCAGAAACAAATAAAATAATTCTCCCCAATACGAAAGTGCAGAGGTACTAGGACTTCAAATCTCATTTGCAGCTACTGGTAAATAGGCGACAAAAGATAGACAGACAAAAGATCCCTGACATTTGGCCAATGTCTCAAAATTAGATCATCATTTCTGTACAATAATCTCCACCCTGTAAGTATAAAACGGGAAAGGACAACAGGAGTTCTATTCAAAAATTTCTAGGTTATGTATTCCAGTTAACACTGGGAGTCTCCCAAGATATTCTGTGACAAAGGAACTTTTCCTGTACAGTCCCCTGTACAGGGATGCCATGCACCATTAATTTTTCTCCCCTCTTGCTTCAAATAGTAAAACCCCTAAAATTCAAGGTTACTTAGACTGTTTGCAACTCAAAAGCGAGAAGTTAGTAAGGTGGAAAAACAGCTATACATAATTAAAAGATGAGCTGGAATTAATTATTTTGATATTGATAAAAACTCCAAGACTTACGGAAGAAATTATATTGGGGAAGAGGAAAATGCAGAGTATTGCTGATTAATGGAAATATCTCCTTCACTATGAGCGATGTTTTATACACAGGCTATTAGTGTTTTATAACCAAGTCAAGTTATTCAAGTACTGAATAATTCCAGCTCAGTTGCAATAAGCCTTTTTCAGGGTTGCAGGATTCTAGATTTCAGACTTCTGCCATTCAAGATCTCAGCAATTAGCATCAAATATAAACGAACAGAAAAATCTGCCTTTTCCCCTCCGCAGAGCAAGCTGCTGCACGAAATAAGAGCAAAGCTCTGCCGCCACCTCCTGGAGGCCACCACTTGTGCCCAGGGCACAACACAGCCTTCCTCAATGGGAGCAGTTTCTACAGGAGAGGGATGGTTACTCAGAAATAAGCACTTTCCCTTCTCATTATTTTTCTTTTAAAAGGCAACCTGGAAAAATCTCTTGTCATTTAGTAACATGAACAGAGAAAGAAAACTAGAACTTCTTACTGTTGACCTTCTTGGACACAAAGTCAAAAGCATTAAAGTTAAAAAGTCAAAAGGAAAAGTAAGCCCTTTTGAATTGCTACAGCAAGTCTTGACCAAGGTATCAGTTCTTGCTCTTACCTCCGCAGCTCCTTTCGCTATCTACATGGTTGAATCGACTAATCCAACAAAAATACAAGATACAAAAAAATAAAAATGCTACTTCAAACATCAAGAAACAAACAAAAATCTTTGGGTGACATCAATATTTGCTCTATTAAAGGATCTTCAAGCTTCTCCTATAAGAAAGAAAACTATTTTGAGCTTGCCTTTTTCCCTCAGGCATACAGATGTTGACTAGCCTGAAAGACATAAGCACCAAAGAACGAGCAGAACAAGAGACATCACTAAAAGAACGCCAAAGTTTAGCAATTAAGAGGAAAAAAGAATTTTAGTCCGTCTGTTAGAAACTATACTAATTAACACTGGTGCTAGTGGCAATATATTAAAAAGATTATGTTGAAGCAAAAATTGCACTGCTTTCAATTGTCAAAGAAACAGTAAAGCTTACAACAATCCCTGAAACCTGTCAGAGGTCCTTTAACAAAACTAGGAAACACAAAATTTGACCTCCTTAGTTTTCCAGAAGGCAAAACACAGCATGCATCTCCCATCTGTCTTAAGTGTTTTAGACCTCCTTTTGTAATAAACCAGCTAAACTCAAGTAACAAGAATTCTCTGTTACTGAGGTTTAGCTTCTACAGCCAATTCCTAGTCCCAGTATTTCACTAAACATAGGGAAAAAAAATGTCACAACAATGTATTTTATGATGTTGCTCTGTCGTGACTGCCAAGTTCTAAGATAGTTACGACGGGTAATAACTCAAGTAAGGCATTCTTGGAAAAAGAAAAAAAAAAAAAACCATCACACATCTAGTAACCACTTGTGCTTGGTCTCACAAGGCAAGCTGCAGAAATAGCTGCCCAAGACTGTAACTGTCCAATTGACTACAAATAGACAAATCTTTTCAGTTCTGCACAGTTATGCAGACTTCAATGAAAGCTGATGGATAAATTATTTTGCATTCATGGACCCAGATGAAGTAGGAATAAACTGATACCACTTAACACAGAAAACCATAAGCTTTTCTTAAATACATTAGTCTCTCATTTCCAGTTCCAGGCTTTAGCATGAGGCATTTATCAGATATGGTGACATATCGGATTAATGTTGTGGGTATTTTTTAACCAGACACACATGATAAATTATGACATTTATACATTCCTCTGATGTTTCAAATTAAAGTAAGGCCCCCATAAAATAAGTAGAAAGTACAATGAGAATCCCAAATATGAAGGTCATTCATTAGGACTTAATATTGAATTCATATCAACTAGCTGTATAATTTTTGAGGTGAGAAGAACAGTACCATCAGACATAAACTGTCTGCGTTGTGAAACAATAAAGGTCCCAGTGTCACTTTTCTGAAGAGTGGAAGGAAAAAAAAAGTCAGACCTTGACTCAATTCCAATGTGGCTGACGACTCTACGGTTTCATTAATGCACCATTACATTACCTTTACTTCCCAGTCCCAACTGTTGTGCAGAATTGATGTCAACAGCTATGTTTCACTCGGAACAGGCCTACTTTTGAAGTAGGTGAATAGTCTATGTGTTGTAAGATACTTTGGTATCCTTCTGAGAAAAATGGCAATCAGTTTCTTTTTAGTAATTACTAGTGTCCATCCATGAAAAGAATGTAATTTATGCTAAAGATTCTGGGTTAATAGTTTTAATAGTTATCTGCTATTTAAATGCATATTATCCTGAACACACTGTAAAGTGAAATGAGTTTTGAATTCTATTAAGTTACAGAATCCCTTCTGTATTGTGTCATTCCCCATTCTTTTTATGTTCACAGAAATAGTTTTGACTGGTAGGGTGGGGAGAATTTAGTAGCAGAAAGGACACCAGTGCCAACCGAAGACCAACCTCAATTTACCCACAGAAAGAGAATATCTGCTTGCCTGTCACATGAGTATCAGCCTTGTGTAAATAGTTTCCTGCTCTGAAACATCACTTTCTACTTGGAATCCTTAAAAAAAGAATAAATTCCTAGAATAGAAGAGAGGAGGTCTTTAAAAAAAATTACCTTAGTTTCCTTTAAAAATTCTTTTTCAAATGGAGAATCTTACAACTGCTTTTACTTAGGGCAAGCCAACTACTTTCTCCACTGTGTTAGGTCAGCTTGTATAATTTATTTTCTTTCAAGCAGTATAAAGCAACTAGTACACAGTTTGGAAAATAAAGCAGAAACATACCCGAAAAAAGGGCGAGTCTGTGAATATTTTATTGTACTATTTGCTAACTCTTGGCTTTTGTTACTTCCAGACTTCTATTTACTTAATAATTTTGAGTTCTCTACACATTTTCTTTCACCTGCAAATTTATGGTAATTCTTTCCAAAGCAGATCCAAGAACTCATTATGCTACCAGGAAGCTAAAAACCAATGTTGGCTGTCTACATATATTTGATGATATTCTTTGGTTTAGTTACAATACAGAAACAAAGTCCACTCAGTTCAACTGTCCCACACTAGCTGCCTCCTTCAATGCATTCCCCTTCACCAGAAAAATCTGAGCTTGACCACAGCAATGTTTCCAAACTATTTTCCACTTCAGAGAAGAAAAAGCTGACACTGTAGTATTTTTCTGGGACTCTGGGCATCTGTATTGCCAACTCAAACACTCAAAAATCTTCTTTCAGCCTGCTTGATTTTTTGGAGCTCATCTCATATGTGGCACAAACATTGGAAGACCCAGAAGAACAGATAGTCTCCTGCAAGTCATACCAACCTATTAAGTCTCTTGATTCAGCAAATGGTAGCCACACTTCATAACAACTTGCAGGCAAGCAGAACACATAAAGGATCTTACACTTTTTTGTTAGATACATAGAAGTGTAACATGTATATGCAGCTAACTGGTAGTACTCCATAGGTGCAGCCTTTCTAGTACACTACCATTGTAACAAGCCCCACATTTTCATGAATATGTCATATAGAAAATTAACTTTAATTTGCTAGTTTTCTGCTGGCTGCACCTTCTGCCTCAGTGGGTGATGAGGAGTAAAAAAAAAAAAAAAGAAAAGGCACGAATGTTTCTGCATCATTCACAATTTCTTTAGCTTGTATTATCATGACATTGGTCTAAACCAATTCTACCAGCTACATGCAACTGAAACTAGGGACGATTTCTCAAGCTTAGATTTACAGCTACGCTCTGAGACTGCCATAATAGGCAAACATGGCCTGATTTGTTATTTGAAACATCTTGAAATTTGAGATAATGTTGGAGAATGACAATTATAAGCCGTTTCCTAGACATCCTAGCTAGGCATGATATTTTTTCCTAAAATGTAGCATTCCACCCCACAGCTTCTGGGAGTATAAGCCTTCCAAGGATATATCCAGGGACCTATCCTGGTTATTTTCTCTAGCTACAACCTAGAAGTGGAGAGGAAATACACCCTCATCAAGCTTGCAGATGACACCAAAGCAGGGGCAGAGCTGGGCTGCCATTCAGAGGCACTTGGGCAGGCTGGCGGAATGGGCTGACGGGAACGTCATGACATTCAACAAGGACAAACCCTAAGTCCTGCACCTGGGAGGGAATAACCACCTGCAACAGTACAGGCCAGAGACCAACCTGTGAGAGTTCTTGGTGGATCTTATGACTAAGCATAAGATCATACACCTTGGACTTATACCTAGGCTTAAGTCAGCAGCATGCCCTGGCAGTGAGGAAGGCCTACAGCACACTTGGCTGTATTAACAGGGGTGTAGCCAGAAACTCAACTGTAGTGATTATTATTTCCCTTTAGTTAGAACTCAGTAGTCCACATCTAAAATACTATATCTAGTTTTGGGTCACCTAGTAGAAGGAAGATCTTGATAAACTCCAGCAAGTCCAGCAGATAGCCACCAACATGGTGAGAGGGCTAGAGCACCTATGAGCTAAGGGGCCAGGGGGAACTGGGCTTGTTTTGCACAGGAGAAGGCAGCCTGGTGAACATGGGACCTAAGAGCAGCCTTCCAGTACCTATGAGGAAGTTACCAAGACAGAGACAGGTTCTTTACTGAGGTGAGAAAGGTCATAAATTGAAACTAATTCAAACAGATGCATGGCAAGTGGGGAATCACTGTGAGGATAATTAAGGTCTGGAATAAGGACCCAGAGAGGCTACAGAATCTCTGTCCTTGGAGGTTTTCAAGACCTGACTAGGGAAAGCCTAAACAACCTAGTCCAAATCCAGTGGTGGCCCATCTTTGACAGAGTTTGAACTAAGTGATTTCCTGAGGTCTCTTCCAACCTGAATAATTCTACATGTTCTGTTTTACTTGAGGAAATAAAAATAAATTCATAGCTCATGTAAGTATCTGGAAGTGCGTTCCTCACCCTGAAAAAGACTCCTTTTAATATCAACACAGCTGCTAATTGATCAAGAGACAGAAAAGGAGCAGAGGTGCAAAAATTCTGCTGAAAGAAAATCATCAACTAAAGCTCATACATTTTGCCAGTGTCCCCCCAAAATGTGCATGTCATTCAATTAGACAGTTCAACGGCTTTTCAGAATATTCTTGGAGGGATTTTTGTCAAAAGCTCAGCACGTATTTGATACTAACCCTGAGCTACCAGAATAATACATTAATTGCATTCTGGTATGTTGGAAAAGGGATTCGGCATGATACCCTTCAAAAGCTCAAACGTGAAATTTCCTCTTTATGTATGTAAAACAATATATTTTGAAGCGTCTTCTTTGTCTTTGGGTAAAATGCCTTCCAGACATGAAAAATGGGGGAAGCTGGCAGGAAAGTATTATTTGTTTCTTTACTGACTGCAGTAACCTGGCAGAAAAAGAATGTGGTTTACAGAAGCATTTTAAAAAGTCACGGAGTTCTTGAAATGTAACAAACCAGAAGCTTTCAGCAATCTTAGACAAAAAATCCTGTCAAAAATGAAGCAGATGAAAATTTGAAGAGGGTTACAATCTCCTCCTAAGAAATACCCTTCCATTCAAATTCCTATCTTAAATTTTATAAAGGAAACTAGAAAACAAACTAAAATCCATTGGAAACCACCCACAACCCCTGAAGCACTATTTGTACTCCCACAGTAGCCTTAGAACTCTACAGGAAATAGCCTCACCAGTATAGCAAGTTCACTAGCCTTCAGTATGTGAAGAAGTATGTAATTAACTTTATATGCTAAAGTTCCACTAAATTAGCTTAGTCGTTTAATAGTAGTTCCAGTGAAGTATGTGCTTACATCTTTTTACATTAAGGGCTTTAGTTCTCACACCTCTAACTTAATACAGAAACACCCAGAAAAGAAAATAATCACTGTGGTTAAGCAAAAGAAACAAAACTGAAATATCAATAGTAGAAATCTAGCAAACATCTTTTATTATTAAATTAGATTGAATAGGCTCTAATCTCCATCTGATATGCCCATCACAACTGCTAGACTGCTACAGTACTTATGCTGTTTTGAATACCAGATATTTTGAATACCAGAAAGATTTATAACAAGTACAGATTTTTACTTCACATTTATGTCATGCTTTGATATCATCACTGCAGGTATTTTCTTCACTACACAAGTGCCTGAAATGAGGCAGTCATGCTTAGAGCCTTTGAGTGCTCGCATCACTTTTTTCGTAAGTCTAAAGAAATATGCTACAGAACTATTACATCAACAGTATTTTTCATCCAGGAGATTATGAATTCCTTTGTAGAGGAAAAAAAAATAATTTAGAAAGATCCAAAAGACCCCCAAACCTAGATGTAAAAGCAAGGGGTGAGGTGGGGGAGGGGAAAGAAAATAAAAAGAGAAGGGTTTACTATTGATGCCTCAAGCAATACACAAGATTTCACTTCACAGACTAAAAAGATGATGAGAGTAGGAGTTCACAGCAGAACCAACCTTGTATCTTCCAATGACACTTGACCAGATTCTTCATTCACTATGATTTTACAGTGATCTCCAGACACCAACTTGTTGCCAGGGAAAGATAAGTCACAACCTTAAAAAGAAAGCAGATTTCCAGTGTGCTTAAAAATACACATTACACAGACAGATCAGCATTCTACATGGCTATAAATGCACAACAAACTGACTCATGTACATCTGCAATAGTTCAAAATTTCTAATGGCGTATAGGCAGCAGCACAGTCTAGTATATGATACATAAATGCAAGCGGTGAGATATGCCCATGTGTCAATATAAGCTTATTTCAACTATTTCAAGATGGTTTAGTTCCCTTTTTCCTCCCCCCAATACTAGCCCCTTACAGATGGAAACCAAATCACAATTACTCTGTTCTAGCGTGGTGCAGAGATTAATTCACACATATTCAAAGTGTTCAATCTAAATTCTAGAGGCATACATCACAGAGCACCCAGTTCTTTTTCCACATCATTGTAACACTGTTTCATTGGATTTAACTTCTGCTTCATTCTGTTACACAGAGGGGGAAGTAGCAGGAACCAACAGCTGATAAATAAGAGAGTATCACTGTTCTATGTTAAAGTGTTTTTCTTTTGTTTGTTTTTAAATAGGAACATTTTCCTCATCACTGTTGACAGCACTATTACGTTAATAAAGCTGAAGGGAGATTAAAAACTCAGGACTTTTACCATATCAGATTTAGGGATATGCAGGAAAAGTATAATGAGAATGTTGACCTGACAGAAACCTTCCCACCTACGACTCTGGGGCTCTGAGCAAATCTAGTATTTTTTCTTCACTTTAACATTGAATGTTCAATGTTCCCCACTAATCTCTCTCAAATGATTTAAAGTAATTACAACTTTTGAGTAAGCAAGTAACAAACACGATTCACTTCTACCTATTCACACTGTGGGTGCACTGCATCTCAGCCTGCAAGAACAACATATCCAGAAGGAAAATAGTAACCACTACACACGCTGGTGATAGTTTATCACTAGTCTATGCCCAATATTCAAGGAACAATCAACATCTACAGAGATGACTGTTGCCACATAACTTGTGATGCTAGAAAGCCCACTGAAAGTGAGTAGACTAAATTTTATTCAGGAGCATGCCAACATTTGTATTCTCTTCTATGGAGTTAAGACTTTCACATGGGAGCAGGAAGGACAAAATGCTCTAAACAAGCATCTCTAATGCTCCTGAAGATTTTCAAAGTAATACTTATGACCCAAAGCTTGATATTCTTGCAACCACTCATTTTATTAATCCACTAGCAAACAATTATGGAAGCAATACAACATGTAAAAATTCATCTTTTTTCTGCAAGATAACCCTCAACTAGACCCAAATTTGAAGAATTTACCTACAGCTTAGATAATGATAAGCAATTTAAACATATATTACCAAGTGTAAATAAGCAAAACACTTCCCCTACAATACATTATCTGAATTTCTCATAGAGCTATAGCTTCTGGTGTTTGTTCAAGACTATTTATAGAATGTGACTGGTCAGTCAAATAGCTTGACCTTATGAACAGGAAACTGAAAACTAGGGAAGTCAGGGCAGAGTAAAAAAATTAAAACACTACGATGATTGTTTTAAGTACAGTAAGCATGAAATTCTTTAAAATAAAGGCAAGCAGTAAAAGCCCTAGACTCTGGGAATAAAGCTTTTAAATCCACTCTCAGAGAAGCTTTCAGTATTTGTTGGCAATCTTTATATGGCCAGAAGAATTAAGGGCTTTTATGTGGGCGTTTTCTTTTCTGTGAAGCACAAGCATTTTGCATTGCAGTTCCAACTTATTTTAATCACAGAAACAAAATCTGAACATAAACAGGACTGCTGCACAGAAAGTCTTCTGAATCAACAATCATTTTTTCTTACTTGTACAAACTGTCACAGACAACCTAAAACACACATTCACTTTTAAAAGTGCACACATCACAAGTTGGTAAAAAAGAAAAGGTCAATGTAAAACTTCACACAGCACCAAGGAGTAAATTAGCAATAAGGGACCACCTGGCAAGCACCTCCAACAGTTGAAAGCACCAAACCCAAGTAGTTTCAGACCACTTTCCAATGTTTTAAAGACCAGGAGGGGGATCGCTGCTCTCCCCTGAACACCACCCTACACCAGCGCAGTGTGTCCCTGTCCCACCTTTCTTCCGACCAATTGTCCATTCTCTTTTCAGCAGCAAGACGTGCGGCTCTGCCTCATCAGCACCCAGCCGGATCAGCTTCCCCCAGGGCTGCTGCTGCTGCTGGCTCGGCTCGCCTCCTTCCGAGTGCTCCATTTGGATTCACATCTGAGAAAAACAAACAAAGAGAACCAAACCCCACCATCACACAGCACCCGGGGGGAGGGGAGGGGGGTGGCTAGGGCTCGCTCGGGGCCAGCAGCCCTCTCTCCCTCCCGGGGACCGGGCCCTGCGCGCCGCAGCCCCTCACACCCCCGGGGGCTCCCCCGTCCCCTGCCCTGCCCGCTTCCTTTTGTGTGGAGTTGGAAAGCCCTCCCCCTAGGCCACTCGGCCCC